GGATTGCGAATGGCAAGGCAGTAGGCTGGCTGGCTGTTTGGGACTTCGGCTCTGATTGCCCAAAACTAATTTGAATTTTATTGATTCGATTCGCGGTCCTTCACTGGATTTGCTACCCACTTTTCGCCAGAGCCTTCGCCATCGCCATCGCCATCGCCTTCGCCATCGCCATCGCCATCGCCTAATCCCTGGCAAAAGGATTGTGTCCCGAATGCTTTTGATCCGCAATTTCGGGCCTCTCGTCTCTTCTTTCTTTTTTTTCTAATATGGCAAATTGTCTTTTAATGTGATAAACGCATATGCTCATTGAAATCGCATTATCGACGCATCACTGGGGGCGTCCCTCACGCATTTATACCCATTTATATATACATTTATACCCCTAAGTGGCTTAAGTCGATTTGACAAATTTCCGTTGACAAAATTGTGTCACTTTCGGCCTAGTCGTGTGTGTGGTGGGTCGGCGGGTGTTGTGTGGCCAAGGACTTATGCTAGTTTCGTACGGATTATCAGGTATTTTGGCTGTGACATGGGATCTACCGAATGCTGGAAAGTCATGAAATTTTGAAGCCCAGCTTAACCCATCGTAAACTTTTTAGGCAACACGCGTGACATGGCCAGAATACACAGGGTTCTGGGGCCGTATCAGGCATAAAATATATTAATAGTTCTTGTTTTCTATTTTAAAAGTGCCTGAAAATATTCTAAAATATTATACTTCAATATGAAGACTTGTTTCTAGTCTTTCAGCCTGGACTCTGTTCAGTTCTGAGGTGTTTTCAGGTGTTTCCACTTGGAAACCAAGACCCAGCTTCTCCCAGGCTCGTTCTCTGTGCAAATACACAGAGTTTGCGGCTATAATCTCACGAATAATTACACACAGGAGAGTGAAATTTGATTAATTCAATATTTGCACTCCGCTTTCCAACGTGCCTTGGCAAAAGTTTCTCTCCCTGTGTGTGAATTTCCATGTTTGTTTAGCTAATAAATTTTCGGGTAGCAAAAGTAATCAAATAATTGCAGAATACACAGAAACACGAACCCACACACACACATGCTTAGGCCATGTTTTATTGCCATTTTATTTCATAAAATTTACGAGCAACAAAAAGTTTGCACACTACCAAAACACAGTCAAGAACCCAAGAAAAAATAAAATAAAAACAGGACACAAAGGAAGTACCAGCTCAGCCGGAGGAAAATATAGTAGAAGTGGAAGCAGTTTGCCAAGAATAATAAAGTTGAACAAAGAAGTACGAGTCTATCAGTCAAAAGTAGCGGAAACCGTGCTTTTTTCGCAGCTAACTTTATATTGATGACGCTGCTTAGGCAGCCCGAACAAGAGCCCCCAATAATCCTGACAAATCGCGGTTAGTTCTTGGCGGGGAAGACGGTTGACATTCGCTTTATGATCCGCACTTTACTCCCTTAGAAAGGGGCCAGCAACATTGTCTGTAACTCTCTTAATTGAAGCGTTTCTTGAACCGGCATTTAATAGGTAAAGTTTCTCTTGATTTTTTTTATTTTTTGTTTTTTTATTTTTGGAAGAATAAAGCATCAAAGGACCATTATTCAGAGTACCAGCACTTGGTGAGGGTCTTAAAACAGACAACGCATGCGGACTTTACGACTTGATTATTTTATTGTTAATATGTTGCTTTTTTGGGTTTTTTTATTGGTTTATGTGGAAGAGGAGGGATTGCATATATAGGAATATAAGTAAATCGGATAATATTTCTTGGTTTAATATAGTTTTTGTATATTTTAGAATTTATTTTCCATTCCATAATTCCAATTAAACATTCATACTTCAGCATTATTATATCCTCGTGTGTTTAAAATCCTAAAAATATATTTTTAAACGAGTAAAGTGGGTCAAAAACCAACCTATTTTGCCATTTAGGCACTTAACTTGATCTTTATTAAATATACTCTCTCACCTACCGAAAAAATGTATCAAAAGATTCGAGTTATTTTCCTTTATCCTGAAATTTCATTTCGTACGATGCGTGCATATCGAATTCTCCTTTTCAGGGTTACATTTAGGGTTGTGACAGGCATCAGGGTAAAGGGGTTTTCCCCGGAAAATGGGGGAGAGGGAGCGGCTCAGGGGCCCACCCACATTGTCACTTTTGTGTGGGTTCTACGTGCGGTTGATTGATGGATTCGCTTGTTTACCCGTCAAGCCGCAACAAGAATGTTGTTCTCTGGCCAGGGGAAGGGCGGTGGAAGCGGTAAAAAGCGGTCTGAATGCGGGAAAGCGGTCTGGGGGAAACAGATTTCAAAATAAGCAATAGTCAGCAGTAATCGTGATATATCATATCGCAAACCGTAGGGGAACAGCAGCGGCATGATATGGGTCTTTTTCTGCCACGATTTCATTTTGCTCGGCGTAACTTTACTGTGTTTTATTTATTTTTTCTTGCTGTTTGGTTCTTTTTTTTTTTTTTTTTTTTGTTGCCCCCCGACAGCTGCCGCGGGACATTTGCCATTTTCCGAATAAATTTTAAAGCCGGGCAAATGTAAATTCCGTCTCGAACGGAGACATAAATCATAGCAATTCATTGCCCTCGAGGAGGAGCTACCAGGCAATTGACGCCAAGACAAAGCGCTTCCTGATGTCCTGATGGGGTTAAATTGGTCAGGAACACTGGGGGTTGGGGGGATGTCCCGAAATCACGCGACAAGCAAGTCCTTAAATAATGCTCAGGGCGCCAAGTGACAAGACACTGATTTTTAAGCACTTAAATAGCTGTCTAGCATGGTTTTTGGAAAATAAAATATAGAGAAAGAAAATATAATAATAATAAATGCAAGTGTAATTGCATATTTCCCCACCAAGAGTCGTCAAGCATTCTCTGGAGCGGCAAAAAAAAGTTTCCATTTTGAAATATAAAACATGAGAAACTTCCTTTTGCGCCCACACTATCTCTTTAATAATTTGCAGGCGGACACATTCCGGGATGATCTAATAAACTTGCCAGAATGTCTGCGAAATCCCATCAGAACATCCACTTCCGGTTCCCCACTCTGTCCTCCGCCATCCAAGCATTACCATTTCTGTGCGTGTTGCTTGGATCTCATTACAATTGCAAAGGCAAGAAGCCAAAGCCCCGCGCCGCTCCTTGAGGCCAAGAATACGCATTTCATTTGCAAGAAGCCAGGCCCCCACTAGCTTTCACATTCTCTGACCCCGACCGAGCCCCCCATTTTAACCGGCTTTCCACCGCCCCCGAAGCCCAAACTAGCCGGGGAAAACTCAGAAAAGCCATCTAAAAGTTAATTACAATTGCCTCAGCCAGCTCTGCTGCAACTTTAACTGCCGCAACGAGTTCGCATTAAGCAGAAACGAGGCGAATGAAAAAAGGAGCACGTGAAGGGCCCCTGAAATGGGTATAATCGAGGGGGCTGATACCCTGGAAAATTGTGGAAAATAATACGGGTAAATATGTTGAAATAAAACATGTATTAGGGGATTCTTCTATCGTATTAAGTTTGGAATTAAAGATTTTAGGCCAAGTTAAGGCAAATAAATAGGTGGGAATTACAAGTGTGTGTATTACAGGGTATCTGCCCAAGTCTCCCAGTAAAGTTCAAGCCGTAAGCAGTAATATCAGAAGTAACTACGAGTCCCAGTATCTAACTGCTGCAGTTTTTCGCTGCGAGGGGGCATATAAATATTAAAAAGAAAATCTGCTACATGGCTACGTGCGACGCATTTCAACGCAGCCAGCGCGACTTCAGTGAACCCCCAACTTTTCCCTCCGCTTTTCCCACAAACAACCACACACTGGGAAAAGGATAGAAAGGAGGTCGGTCGGTTGGGCGAAAAAAAAAATGAAGAGAAATTTACTTTGACATATTTTTGTGCTTAGCAAAGCAAATACTTTCATTATTTTTGCTGTTGGGCACAAAATTTCCCTCCGGCTGTAATCACCCACATCACACATCGAGGAAAAGCGGGAAAAATCGGGGGTGGGGAAATGGGGCGCTGCATTTGAGTGGCTTAAAACATTCTGCGGTTCACGCCCACAGCCACCCCGTTTGAGTGGAAAATGATGGAAAAATCACCCAACCCCGCGCACTTTTCCGAATGACCCAAACGTGGACAGCATCGGTGGGCGGGTTCGCCCACTGTTGTAATTTTTCCTGCCCTAAAACCGAATTCTGTTGCTGATTTCCCAGATAGGTCACGAAAAAGTTGCCAAAAAGATAAAGAAAGAGCGAGAAGCGGCGAGTAAAAAACAACAAAACAAAATAATAATGAAAAGAAGCAAGAATGCGATTAGAAATTTTCATATTTATCGAATATTTGTGGCGTCATAAACGACAGGCACTTTCGGGGAAAATATTAATCGAGGAAATGCAGATACTTGTTTATGATTATGACAAGACTTTAAAGTACCTCAAGGAATATTTTAACAACCATTTTAATAGATAAAAAAATATCTAAAAAATAGTTTCTTGATTTCAAGATTTACATTTAGAAATAGTTAATTAATTAAACATTTTTCGTATTTTCTAAATGCTCCTTTTTTTCTTCTCTCCATTACAGATCGTTGAGTGTCTATGAGGACAGGTGAAAGTTTGTGTTTTTTTTTTTGGGGGGGGCTGCTCGCACCTGCTCACACACTCACACAGAGGGAGCGAGCGAGACGGGAGCAGACAGAGGCGGCGACAGATGTGTGAGCGGCGGTGAGGAGCGGACTGTGGATTCCAGGGGCGGCGAAGGACGAAGGTCGCTGGACGAAGAGGACCATGGATTGGACCCGATGGCAAATGGCCAGAGAGAGAGCTGGCAATCCAGGATCAGGATCAGTATCAGTCTGGAACAAGCCTGAGACTAGATTGGAATGGTTGCCCATTTGATTCGTTGCGGTTTTCACACGTAGGTTCAATCAGTCAGTCAGTCAGTCAGTCAACCAACCAGTCAGCCAGTCAGTCAGTCAGTCAGTCAGTCAGTCAGTCAGTCAGCCAGTCAGCCAGTCACCCAGTCACTCAGTCAGTCAGTAAATCAATCGTGCAGCCAGCGCCCGATTGCCGTTGTCCCCTTCATCAAAAGCAAACTCAAGTAACTCAGATCAACTCAACGTAGCCAGCGATCAAGCCATGCACATTACTGTAAATACCAAATCAAAACTAGATTCATAAATATATACAATAAACCCGAAACCCAGTAATAAAAAATAAAAAACACAAGGCAAAACCAAAGCAAACATAAACCAAAACAAAAGTGCAGTGTTCAGTGTTCAACGAGAGTGGAAAGCGATACGGCAGGGCAACAAATCGAGCGAAGGAAAGCCATCAAGGTGAGAGGGCGGCCAAGGGCTGCCCCCCCGCGAGCAGGAGGACGCCAGCCGGAAAAGGCCAGAACAACAGCCAGCAGCAGCCAACAACAGCATAACGCCCCCAACACTGCCAATGCCATTGCCATTATCAAGAACAACGTTCGTTCATCATCGTTCGTTTAGATTTGACACAAGTGAGTTCAGCTTAACTAGATCATAAACCCAGTAAATCTATCGAAATCTATCAAAATCTATCAAAATCTATCGAAATCTATCTATATTTATTGCAAACAATCTCTGAAGGATTGAAAATCATGTGTGGTTTCCGCTTTTGAGTTACAAGCCAAAAAGTGGATAGTACAGTAACGATTTCCAATCTGCGGAGCTTATTTTATACTTTCCATTTATATATCTGTCGTTAGTCTTAAGCATTTCAACTGTAAATATATTTCTCTATAATACTATGTAGTTATCACTCATCCGAGGTCTTGTGTACATCTCATGGGTTTAGTAACAAAGCTAATCTAGTGGAAAATAAATCAAAACAAGACGATTTATTCTCTGTCTAAAATATCCAAAATATAAATAAATATAAATAAAGTATATATTCTGTAGTCTACCTTTGGACAGCATTTAAAATCGAAAGCACCTCTTGATCGATCGTAAAAGCAATTCTTGCCCGAAATAATTGTCTCATTCTGCGAACTTGTCTATGAATTCGGCGTTAAATGGTAGACTTCTTGCTGGGATCTCAGTGAATTACTCATTAGCGAGTCGGACAGATTAGTGAATAGAGATTAGTGATTAGCGACTAGTGCCAAGTGCCATTAATCAGAGTTGCTTTCGATGAATCACTTAGCCGAGCGGCGCCCCGAATGCGACTGCGACTGCAGGCGCGAATGCACACTCATTAGGCGACGGAGGGCCAGTTGCCATCCATCAATTAGTTGTGCACAATTGCGATGCCCACACCAAAATGACCCAATAGCCAAATATCTAGGCGGCCAGTAGACCAGCCCAGTAGCCCCCACCACCCACTGGCGCATATTCGTTTAGGCGGGGGAAGTCCCGCGTGTCCGCTTTCAATCGCAATGGCAATCTGCAATCTGACAAATCAAATCTTGTATGCAAAGCAGCCAAGCAAGCAGCACGAGAGCGACGGCCCAGTCAACGCCAGCAGTGACACCAGCCAAGCGACAAGCAATTTGTTTAAACATTTGTGCCAACAAAACGCCAGCAAGCAGGCGAGCAGCAAAAGCAAGGTGCCAAGGAAAGGTGACGGAAAGCACGCAAAGGCGAAAGCACGGTTAGGCAGCGGGAAAAGCAATAAATCGGGTTAAAAAGCAGCTAAATAGGGATCCGATCGGGAGGAGAAACCAAAGCAGAATCAGAGCAAAGCAAAAGCAAAAGCAGAGGCAAAAAAAGAAGCTAAGAAGAAGCAAAGCAGAAGCAAATTAGAAAAAAAGCAGAAGCAAAAAGAAAGCAAATCAGAAGCAAATCAAAGAAAATCAATGAGGAAAAGCTAAAAGCATATATATTAAAACAAAAAAATATAAAAAATATTGTATAGCACTTAAGAAAGTTAAGCAAGCAAGATAAAAGCATGCTTTAAAGCAAGCAAATAGTGTAGAAAAGCAAATAAAAAGCAGGAAAGCCTGGAACTTCAAGATGAAAGCAGAAAAGACCAAAAGAGCAAGCTTACAGGAGTAGAAGAATGATAGAAATATAGAAAACAAGCAGAAGAAACAGACCAAACTTACTTTGCTACGACAGTTTGAAGAAAAGCAAGCTGGCAAGTGAAAAGCAGATAGAAAAGCGAGTTGGGAAGAAGGATAACCTTGTGAGCAAAGAAAATATAAATAGCGTCAAAGCAGTTATCTTAAAAAGCAGAAATCTAAACACAACAGTAGCAAGAGAGCAGGAAAGCCAGAAAGCAGAATAGCACGAAAGCAGGAAAGCACCAAAGCAGGAAAGCATGGTCGGAAACAAGCCAGCGGGAAATCAGGAAATCCCGTCTGCCGCTGGCCACTAAGAGTTGCGTGACCCGCGAGTTTTGCACAATAAACAACCTAATTGCTCATAAAGTCCACTGCTGCGAGTGACCAGCACGCCGTTCGTCTGGCAGGAGCGGTGACGATAAGCGAACCAGACCGTTTACGGCAATTACAAATCACCAAAGCCGCGAATAGTGACTTGTGCTCCCCTGACCCTACCTAAAATACATAAAAAGAAAAAAATATTTATAACAAAAAAAAAAACAACAACCGGAGGTGACGCGCTATTAGGCAACGGGGCGAGGTAGCCCCCATCACCCCGCCCCGGATGTATAAGCCGGACACGCTTACGCGCCGCGGCAGCCTGAGATCCCTGCGCAGCGCCCCGCTCCTCAGCACGGTTCTGGAGAGTACGCTCTCCCTGACCCGCATCCACCCGATCGCCTCCTTGGAGTTGCCCGGCCTCGACTATGCGGTGCACTCACAGTCGGCCTTCGGTTTGGGGCTCGCCCATCCGCGCGACCTAGCCGCCCTCGGCACCTGCACCTCCCTGCGCAGCGGCCTCGCAGCGATCACCGCGGCCTCCGCATCCGCCGCCGGCGGCGTCTCCCAATCTCAGAGCGCTTTGCTCGGCCGCTACGGACCCAACGCCTCGATCCGCCACGGAGAGCGGAAAATAGTCCAGCCAAAACGGTAGGTGGTCTCACAATATATCCGTGTCCTCACCTATCATTCAATAGAGAGCTCGAGGTAGAGATATCGAGACGATCCTCCAGCAAACGCATTTTTCGAGTCACCTAGACCTAAGGATCATTCAGTAGAAAGCTCGAAAGAGGATAGATTCATGCCCCAAGGTATCCACGGTATCAGCCATTTGGGTTAATCAACACAGCTATATATGGTAATTGTATTTAATGCCAAGGGTATTAAGAAAAAATCAAATCAAATTTGCTGCTCTATGAATATAATAAATATATAAATATATATCTTTGTGCGGCTCACGTTCTGAGGATGCTTGGAGGTACCTGGGACTTACAGCCAGTCCCTCACCGGACTCCTTCGTTTCAGGTTGCCGTCCCAGGGCAGGCTATCGATATTCGCCTGAGCTGCGATTGCAGCCTTCACGCGATTGGAGAACTCCACTGGCGACTCATTGCCACGCCGCCTGAGCGGCTCCATATACCAGACGTCGCAGGCGGTGCACCAGGAGCTGACCAGCATGAACATATAGCGCAGCATTGAGTGCCGGCTGCTGTTCCAGAAGGCCTCACTAAACCGCCGGTCGTAGCTGATGGCCAGCGGATAGACAACGTCGCTCACCGCGAAGGCCCCCTTCCTGAACTGCATCACGGCCGTGTTGTTGATGCAAGTGCCCTCCGGGAAGAGCAGGATCGGTGGCCTATCTGCAGAGCCGCTGTGCCTGCGAAGGATCAATTTGAGGGCCTCGCGATCGCCCAGCTGACCCCGGTCGAACCACATCTGCGGTGAGACGCGGGAGAGGGCACGCTGGAACACTCCGATAATGCCGTCGTGGATCTGGCCAGTCACCGTGTAGTGGGCATCGGACATGAGCACCAGGACGTCCAGGGGACTCGTGTGATTGCACACACAGATGCCCCTGGTGGGGCGATGTTCGGGATTGTGGAATCGCCGGATGATGGGCAGACAGCCGGCCATGATGCGGAAGCACTGACGCAGGACTTGCTCCACCAGTAGCTGCTTCAGATGGCTCTCGGGCAACTGGCCAAGCACGGCCGCAATGACGCTGGTGAGAAAGAGACTCGCCCAGGCGGCCAGCGTCCTCAGGGGCAGCAGCAGCACGTATCGGGTGAGCCAGCCGAGGAGCCAGACGAGCCGCAGACGCCAGTGGAGCTCGCCCACCAGCTGGCCCAGGTTTCGAGTGAGCAGATTCCACTGGCCATGTGGCACCGGGGCGGCCACAAAGTGCGGCGTCACCTCATCCTCGAGGATCAGTTCCAGGCCCAGGCTGACCAGGCTGCTCATCTGCTCAACTCGCCTGACCAACCTGCTCTTGATAACCGGCGATGACGACGAGCTCTTATTGGGACCGCTGGGACCATCGCCCGTGGCGCCAGGCTCGAAGGCTTCCTCCAGATCCTGGCTGCTCCGCCTTGCCGCTTGCTCCCGGCGCGTATACCTTCCCAGCTCCTGGTTAATCCAGGCAAAGAGACATTCCAGCAGGCTCAAATAGAGGGCTTGCAGCCAGAAGAAGGAGGACCAGCAGACCAGGCATACGGTGGCCAACAGAAGCAGCATCGCATCAGACTACTCCACTGGGGATATACTGCGTCATTGGGGGAACTAAAAAGGCTGCAAAGAAGAGTTAGTAGTGATTGGGGTTCGATTAAAACTAAGCAGAAACTCCCAGCTAGGGTGATTTTTTGTGGGAAACCTCCGGAAATCCTTGTAGTCTTGAAATGTAAATTATTCCCGTTAAAGTGCATGCCCACCCCCCCCATGAGTTTGCCCACAAATTTCCCAATTAAAGCCCTAATTCAATTTAGCGCCGACTTTTTGGCTTTTGCCTCGATTTTCCCCCCGCCTTCATATTTTTCTCTCGGCCCGCTTTGTTAAGACTTTTGATTTATTTAGCCCGAGATGTGAAGGAGGAAAAAAATAGGAAGGCCGAAGGACGAAGGACGAACTTTGCCGTCGTCTTGCCTGAAATTTTTTTTCACTCTGGTTTTTTCGGTCGGGTTTGGGTTATATTTGGGTTGGGTTTCCCCATTTTTCCCCATTTTCTTATATTTTTTCAACATGGCAATAATTCAATTATGCCATAACAAGGCCGCAAAATGTTTGCCGCAGATCGGGTGTGTGTATCTCCCGAGTTGAAATCACTTAAGGGCCACAAAAACTTCTGGCTTTGTTAATTCGTTAATTAAATGGGCCCGCGAACGCTCTTTAAGGATTACGCAATGGCGCCCGTCTTCCGTCGCTCCATTGATTACATTGGCTGGCAACAATCTTGGCTTTGGCTTTGGCTTTGGATTTGGCTTTGGCTTATCAAATGCAAAACAACGACGACAGACACCGTCAACGACAACTCATTTAGGCCCGGTCCCGGGCCCTTAATTAGCATAGAATGTGTTTTAAAAAGCCACTTGAGCTAAACATTCAAAACACCTACAGGGTGTTCTCATACCACCCAACGCCCGCGACTTTTCCACTTTTCCCCAACGACAACGACAACGACCTTAGGCGTTTCTGCGGCCGAGTCTGCCTGTATCTGTATCTGTATCTGCATCTGTATCTGCATCTGTATCTGTGTGTGGCACAGTTTGGCAAGTCTAAGGAAAGCTGGACAGATTTAAACACTCTTTGAGATAATTAAGGCGGCACCAGTGACTAGGAGAAGGACTTGGTCACCATGAAAAATCAATAGAAATTTTACAGAATTTAAGAAAAATAATTAAAGCCAAGAGTTTGGTAGTATAAATGTTTTAAGGAATATATTTCCCATCAGCTATATATTTTCGGTATAGGGTATTCACTCGCTTATACAAAAACCAACAGAGCGGCAGCACGTGACGCTCAAGTGTTGGGATAAGCATTTCCGCTCTTCAGACGTAACACGAAAAAAAGAAAAAAAAAGCAAGCTACCCCTCTTGTGACAAAGCGCCTGTTGTCGCGGGAAAAGCGGTGGAAAAGCGGCGGGAAATGCGGAATATGGCGGTAAATGAGGAAGCACAAAATGAAATTGTGACGCTGGCGTTTGCGACACGCCCACATGACGATGCGCCGGCAACGCCCACCTGCCATTCAAAAGTAATTTAGCGTTTAAAAAACATTTTTCTGCCTGACTTTTAAAAAAGTTGCGCGTAATGCGAGTCGCGTGTGTACGCGTGTGTGTCTGTGTGTGTGTGGTTGGAAAATGGGGGGGAAAAAAGCTCAACACTCACCTGGTTGTTGTAGCCACGTTCCCGATTTCGATGTCGTCGTCTGTCTGATCCGCGTGATTGTATTTTGTGTTTCGTTATGGCTGAGGAAAAGAACGAAAACGAAGCCGAAAGAAAAAAAATATGTAACACTGCCACAGAATTTTCTTTATTGACTCTGACGTTTCAACAACCTGCTACGTGTGTGTGTGTGCCTTTCAAGGGGTAACCTATAACCCCGGGAAGTGGGTGCTGTGGGGAAAATGCTCATGGATATTTTGCTTAGATTATGAAAAGCTCGAGGAAAAAAATAGAAATGCCGTATAATGAGATTAGGGAAGTTGTTAGCGCTTAAGTACAAAATAAAAAGCCAGCTACTCGTTGCTAAAAAAATAATAATGATGCGAGTTTAAAACCAGTAAGTGGATGGGGAAAATGAGATTAAGCGAGATCAATTTGTTCATAGAAGAGAGTAATTTCATTTTTTAATATTCTCCCTTACAAGATGGCCTTAAAAATGGAGATTTAAATACTTAAAAAATAAAAGAAAATACACAGAATATAATTTAAAAGAATTCATCATTGATTAACACATCATTTACCCTTTGTTTCCATTGTAATTACCCCAGAGTATGAGTCTTATTATTGTCTCAGGTAACCACATAATGAATTAAAATAAACAAACAGGTGGAGGCAATGACAACAAACTTCTTAGCCAACAATATTATTGATTTTCCCAAGTTTTCCCACCCCTCCTCCTCTGAGAAAGCATCATTTTCCTTAGATTTTTTATTTGAATTTCTCTGGAAATTTTTAAGCGTCCTGTTACCCCTCCTTCTCCCCAAAACCTACCAAGTTAATTAAAAAAGTGTTGCCGTTTGACCCTTGAAACTTCGAAGCTGGAAGGAACCTCGGAAATCCCTTTGACACTCGATGGGAAAAATGGTTAAAGCCCGCCCGCATTTCGCCATAATTGGTTTATGCCATTTACCCGGCTTGTTTACATTTGCATAATGGAAATGGACCAGGAGGAAGAGAGAGGACCCAGAGAATCAAATACAAGGAATGTGATTTATAATTTTTCCCCTTGTTGAGTCGGGCATTTTAATTAGCCCCGGGAAAAGGCGGAAAAGCGAGCGGCCATCGCCTAATTATGTGGGGGAGAGGAGGCCTCAGCGTATTGTTGTTTGTGTCATCAAGTCATTATTTAATATAAGTCGCCGGGCTCTTGATAAATTATTTCCGTTTGATGGACACTACGTGACGAAAGTTTCGAAAATCGAGAGGTTTGGAATGGTGCTCCTATATATTTTTTGATTTGCGGTGGCATCTCCAAGTTTGCCAATCATCCATCCTTGAAGCCTCGTTTATTTGCGGCAATTAATCAATTTTGGTCAGTTTATCCTCGAAATAAGTGATGGAGATTTATCACCCGGCCACGCCCTTAAAGCCGCCTTAAAGTCCTGCACCGGTCGGGAGGCGGCTGGCACTCGGCATTCATTGAACCAAACATTTTGACTTTTGCGCCTGAACGCACATGAAAAGCTCTTGGAAAATGCGACGAATTGAGTGTGCCGCCTGCGGCTAGGAGTGGGTTGCAAAATGCGGGACATTGCCATCGTCATCGTCATCGTCATCGGCTTTTATTTTTACTAAGAACCCAGCAAAAATTGCAGTCGTAATAAGTAGCAAAAAAGTGGACAAGTCGCACTAAAGAATACTCTGCCAAGAGCTTACTTTAATTCATGAAAAAAATCCATAAAAACACAGCTTGAAAGTTTGTTCTAAATATCTTAAAAATATTAAATATAAATATAAATATTTTTATATTTTAAAAATACATTTAAAGTCCTTTAAGTCATGTCTCAACTGAATTTCAAGAGACTCGGAACTGGCACAGAGCATTCACAAATACAAGCACTGAAAATGTTCAACATAAATCTTTAAAGTATGCTATAGGCTATATACATACTCTTCTATATACATATATATTTATATGTATGTATGTACAATACTTTTCTGTTTGACCCCCGATTTCCCAGACAGCCATTTTCCTCGCCATCATTTAGCCGGCTGCATTTTCGACTCTCTTTTTTTATTTTTTTTTTACTTATTTGAAGCGCTGCCATGTGGGAGGCAAAACTGGGGTCAATGCACCCGCAAAAAGTAGGTGGAAAAGCCGGGAGAGAAATGGGTGGAAATGTGAAAACTTGCTCACGATGTTTACGTTTTGAGCCGCGCTTTTCGGGGCTTGTCAACGTTCTCAGCCAATGCTCCAGCCCCATACCCTGACGTATTGCTGAAAATTCCCGCTGTACGGGGCACCTTTCGCAATTTCTTAGGTGCAAAAAGTTGCACTTCACCTGCAGGATGGCTACGCTGGGTCCTGGTGGGTGGTCCTGCGGATGGGTTGGCTTCGTCTGTGTGCCAAGTGAAGTGTAGGCGCAAAGGCGAAACACGCGAAACTTGTCGGTGCAATGTAATAAATTTCGAAAAACGTCCAAACGCATGGCCCATAACGAATGGCTTGGCCAATGCACATGGACAAGTGGGACACCCTAGGCCACCCTAGGCCACCCTAGCGCCACCCACTGCAATGGGCCACCACCTTGTTAGGCCGCTGCAATAAGTCTTTTATGGCTTAGAGAGCCGCCGACAGAGAGCTAAAAACTTTTATCATTAAAGAAAGGTGAAATTTGGCCATAAAAACGCAGACACTGAAACATCCCCCCACCCCCCCAACACACACACACACACACATTGACTATAATGGCTACGTGATTCACAAAATCTGCTCACGTGACCGAGCCAATAAAGTGTTGGCTAAAGATTTTCGAGTAAATGAAATTCCCCTCTCAATAGCCAACCTGAAAAGTATTAAAAAAAAAATAAAAATTACTAAATTAAAGTCCTGAAATTAATAGAGAAAATTCTGAAAACTGTTTTAAGGACCAAAGAAGTCTCACAAAAACCTTTGGAAAACATATACCTAATTGTTCACCCTGACCCCAGTTATCGAACTTGACTTTGTTCCTTTGGAATGCTCTCTTTTTGGGGATTTTCCAACCCGTTTTTCAGAGGCTTTTCCAGCTTTTTTGGGTAACTGAACTCGCAGGTACACTCCCCACACATTTTCACCTGCTGCGCCCCCACTTTATTTCATTTCATTTCCTGCCATTTGCAATTTTCCAACTGCTACTGCACATTTTATTGATTTTGAATGCCATTTTTCGGGGCCGGGGGGACTTAGGAGAGCTCTTGTATGTGCTTTATGCCTGCTGTGTTTGGGTTCCGTTTCGGCAATTTGTTAATTGTATTTCATATGCAAGCGTTGCATGCATTGCAAATTTTATTAGCTCGGTTCCGTTGCTCGGAATTGAAACATAAGTGGAAATCAACTTAAATATGCATGGCATGTAAATACAGTAAGGCAAGTCAATGCCTTCAAGGGGTTCCACTCAGTGTCTCTGTCGCTCTTTTTGGCTGTAATTCTGTTAAATATTGAAATTTTTGATAGTTTTTATAATAATTTCCCTGATATTTACTTGGGATTTTGTTACACAAGAGAAAATGCAAGCCTAGAAAATTCTGGCAAATAATATAAAATATATATTTAGTACACTGAGACTGGGTTTAATTTAAGCTTGGAAAATGTATAGCTAATTTATTTGTTAGCCCACTTTTCCCCAGTGCATTTCCACCCTTGAAATTTCCTCTTAATCTGTTATTGCCAATTTCAAAATCTGCAGCTTGATTGTAGCGAATTTTTTGTGGCTCAATTAGCTTGACATTCCTTAAAGCTGGATTTACTCGCATCCCTTGGATTTTCACCCCCTCCGCCCCCCCCCTGGCTATGTAAATTCAAAATATTACTTGCAAGGCAAACACTCGGGGAGGAAAAAAGGAGAAGGAGAGACAGGGAAGGGGGAGTGGCTGAAAGGAAAACCAAACAAAAGTACACACAAAAGTTTAGCTGAGCAGAAGGAACAAAAAAAAAGAAAAAAAATACATATATGTAGCTGCAAATATTTTCTTATGCTCGTATGAAATGTAAGCATGTAAATACCAGCACCCACACTCGCTGGCAAAACACACATCCACAGACATGCATAACTTTGCTGCAGTCGCTGGGAAAATGGAAAAATGGGAAAATGTATGAAGACAGCTATGACGACGAGAGTCGCTTGAATAGTATACTATTTTGGGGCGAAAAAAAGGGAAGCCTTCTTCATTGCCAACTCGTAGCACACTTTTTGGGACCCACCTCGCCTTGCTGATATGAAAAGTTTTGCCGTCTCGCTGGCGTACTTTTCTTTCTTTCCTTTTTTTTATTTTTTTGTGAAATATTAATAACAAAAGAAGAATTTAAACTTTCAATGAAGAGCCCCCCTCCGCTCTTTATGTTTCGTGTGTGAGCTCCTTGTATATTGTATTTGTAAACAAATATGGAAATTGCTGCCGCTGTTTGTGCTGTTTTTGAGAAGAAACTCACTTCACTCGTCTGAATGACAAGTGGGGAAAGCTAGGAAATCCAGAAGGGCGGCGGCACAACATCAACATAAATGCCAGAAATCGTCCTTGCACTTTACATTCTAAGGTCTTTAAGGTGACTTGAAACCTGTCGCTGCAGCTTGGGATTTTTTAGAAAAAAATTGAAACGTAGGGAAAGTTAAATGCAAACGGGTTTAAAATGACTTTTCAGAGAATATTTGGTTTAATCTTTCTTTGGGGAAAATTAACAACAGCAAAGTGAATAAAAATAGTTTATAAAATCAACTTAAAATTGCATTCTTAATTGTCTTGAAATTGAATATTTTAAGGATTAATATTTGCCTTTTAAAATGCCAGCCAAGTGTGTAGGTGAAAAGTCCCACAAAAAGCAAACAAGAAGACACTGCACTTTGGGCAACTATTAAGAAATTAATCTACTGGCAGGCAGGATGCAAAAACATTGCGGTTCCTTTTGACAGGACGAGAGGCTTAAGCGGTTTAAGGGGGCGGGGCCGAGGCTGACAAGGGGATCGATATCACTACTGCAGATACCATAATATCCTGCTGGGGCATTTTAATATCGCAATGGCTTTCACTTGTTTACCGCTTTATGCAAATTTCATTGCGAGTCCAGGGTCCAGCCTCGATTTGTGTACATATGTATGTATATAGCCCTACCCCCCGTGTGTACACTCACTTGTCTCTGGT